CTCTCTCCCTCGCCCCGTCACGCCCGCGCGCTCTCCCTCGCCCCGTCATACCTAGTCTTTAGCTGATCTGCCTGAAGAAGACTTGCTTCTGCCTAGTTTTGATGTTGTGCCATGTGTTCCCACAGGTTTACAAGAGCACCGCGGATGTGGAGTCAGGCCGTGCGCTCTACTCCAGGTACTCTGAGGTCAGCGATTCGGAGCCTGAGAGGTTCCTCAGCCTTCGCGAGACAGTCCTGCTCAGGAAGGAAGCCAGAAAGATGTTTGTCCAGGCTAACACCAGAGTCGAAGGTACGTTTGGTCCCGCATCATCTCGCACTATGCGTAGGCCACTGCATACGGCTCCGTCTGTGTGTATGTCTGTATGTGTGGCTTGAGATATCCTCTGTTATTTGAGATCTCTAGTCACTTGGCTAGATACAGTTCGCTGGGTGCCCAGTTTATTCACAGATGGCAGCATTCCATCTGCTAACCATCTGTCTATATATCTGTTAGCAATCAAGTAATTGGAATTAATAACCAAACCCTTTTGAAAAGGGGTATTTTTGGGTTATGGAAATGGTTACCTTTACAGCTTGGAGTGGCACGGTGGCTCAGTGGTTAGCACTGCTGCCTCACAGCGCCAGGGACCCGGGTTCGATTCCACCCTCTGGCGACTGTGTGGGTTTTCTCCCACAGTCCAGGGATGTGCGGGTGGATTAGCCATGGGAAATTGCCCGTAGTGTTCTTGGAGATGTAGGTTAGGTGGGTTAACCATGGGAAATACAGGGAGAGGGTGGGATGTCCTTCAGAGGGTCAGTGTGGACTCGATGGGCCTAATGACCTGCTTCCCTTTGGGATTCTATGATTCTAAAAGAATCAAATTCAATATCGTTGCCCACTGATCTCTCGACTCTCAATTTTTGTTTTATTCCTGAAATGTGGGTATCGTTGCTAGGCAGCATTTACTGCCCGTCTCTAGTTGCCCAGAGGCCAGTTCAGGGTTAACCCCGTTGCTGTGGATCTGGAGTCACGTGTATGTCAGACTGGGTAAGGAGGGCAGTTTCCTTCCCTAAAGGACATTAATACCCACTGACACACTGGCTTCTACCCGAGCAACATCTCCTCAACCTGAAAATTCTTAGTCTTGATTTGAAAACCCTCTGTGGCCTCACCCTCCCTATTCTGTCACCCCCTACACCCCCTCCCTATCTCTGTCATCTCTGTCAATTCCGGCCTCTTGAGCATCCCCCGATTCCCATCGCTCCTGCATTGGAGGGCTATGCCTTCACTGCCTGGAGCCCTGAGCCCAGCAATTCCTTCCGTAAACCTCTCTGCTTCTCTCTCTCACCCCCTCCCCTGATGTGGCTTGCCATCACCCTCTGTCTGATTGCCACTATGTGTGATGTGTCTTTATTGAGGCTGAAGGCGCTAGACTAGTACACACTGGCATTTGTTGGCCCTGGCTTAAAATCTCCCTCTGTTTCTGTTTCCACCCCCCACCTAAAGCTGATGGAGACGTCCAGTTCCTGAACTACGAAGCCACAGCTGCCGGTTTGATCCAGTCGTTTGTTGAGCGGTTCCCAGAAGATGACGAGGAGCTGGAATGGAACCTGCAGGAGCTCTGTCGAAGCGACCTGCCGTACTGGAACAATGTCTAACGCCTCGCCCTCCCGCAGCGCCTTGTCCCGAGAGTCTTTTTTAACTTGGCCTTCCCTTTCTCTGTTTTGCTTCCTCCTGAATTTCCTGCGAGCTCCGATTTTTGAGGGCTGCGAATTCCGATTAGACTCTCGAGCCGCTGTCCCTGATTCGGAATGGCTGGATCCGTTCTCGGGTTGCCGAATCCCTCCCTTGTCTATACTCCGCGTTGGAATGCTCCTGGGTAGCTAAGTCGTGCTAGTATTGAACTGTGCCTTTCCTGGAACCGCTTCCCCCCACCACGCACCCCCCAACTCTCCAAACAAAAAAACCGGTTTTGGCCGTTCTCTGATGTCCAAAACAAAATCCTGGGGCAGGCAGCTGTGGATGGGTGGTCTCCTACCAATCTGGGCCTCCCGTGATTCAGGAGGGCGTGCATTTCTGGGAAAGCTCCCCACACACATGCTCCGCTGGTGGGTTTAGGTGTCTCTGTGACTTTGTTCCTTTATCATTTTTGTTCCCCCACCCAAGAGCGTAGCCGACTTGAGGTTCTTTTGGGTTGATTTAACGTCGGGAATCGGTGGCGGTGCAAATGGTGAGCGGGCATCTTGAATTGTTTTGTTTTTGCAGGAGCGAGGCTACGTGATCTCCTGGTTGGGATCGGGCTCAGTTTCTGTAGCTCTTTGCAAGGATTAAGACAAAAATATATTATATCATTCTTCCTGGAAGGTGTGTGTGGAGTTGAGTGTTGTGGAGGTTGGTGCTTTTTTGGGGTCTGGGGAAAGCTAGGTGGTCCTGCTGTGGTGTGGAGGTATGGGACCCTGTTACCGTGACCCTTTCATTCTCAATGAGGTTGGAACAGACTCTGTCCTAGGGGCAGAAGGTCCTGCCAGAATATTATTAACATTTTATTTTCAGTGGCCAGTGCTGGCCAGCCTGCACCTCTGCATTGTAGGCCCAGAACATATTTTCAGTGTGCCAGCTGTATGTTGTTCCAGCCTCCATTACTCCCTCTGGGAGCTCATTCCACTCACGCACCATCCTGTGCGTGAAAAAAATGGTCCCTGAGGTCCCTTTTAAATCTTTCCCCTCTCACCTTGAACCTATACCTCTCTAGTTTTGGTCTCCCCTACCCTGGGGTTGGTGGGGGGGGGCGGGGGAGACCTTGTCTATTCACCGTATCCATGCCCCTCATGATTTTATAAACCTCTAAACTCACGTCCCATGCTCCAGGGAAAATAGCCCCAGCCCATTAAGCCTCTCCCTGTAGCTCAAACTCTTGAGCATGTTAAGTGCAAGGCCAGCACTCTCTCTGTGGAAGGAGGAATAGCCCTGCTAAAGGGAGAGGCTGTAGAACAAGAACTTAATCTCAGTAGCTTTCAGTAGAACACAAGGAAAGCAGGGGGAAGCAAAGAGGGAACGAGGCTGAAAATAGAACATAGATTACCTCAAATACACAGGGGTTTCTTTTTACAGCTTTCACTTGCAAGAAAAAAAACAAAAACACCATTTAGAACTGCTGCTTTCAACTTTTTTTTGCACTGGCAAATATTATTGTTTTTTGTACAAATGTGACGTTTTTGCATAAGTAGAATGACTCCAGAGAGCAGTGGGCGTAGGAGAGATGACTGTTGTCTGTGTGGAGCGAGCTGTGAACATACCAGAGGTAGAAAGGCAGGGGTGGGCGGGAGGCCCTTCAATCCACTGGCCCCTGGTAGATGAGCTTGATGTATCCCTTGTCACCCGTTAGCCATGTGGCACAGAAGGGGCACGCAGCGTGGAAGTCATGTGTGCCATGGGGGAGCAGGATCCTTGCCCAGTACTTGACGGTTTTGGCCGAGCAGACGTGGCCACAGGGGCAGAAGGCGTGGCTGGGGGGCCCTGCATCCAGGTAGGAGCCCGCCTCGCAGCCCATCCACAGAGGCACATAGGGCCCCACCCTCCGGCACAGGGGGCACTCCCGCTCAGTGCCCGCCCCTCCCCCTGCCTCGGGGCGGCAGCCCCAGCTGTGGTAACCGTGCACGTGACCGCAGCTGATATACACCCAGGGCTGTTTCTTCACCACCACATTGCACTGCTCCAGGCTGGGAAACGCCAGCGTGTTGAAGCCAACAGGGCACTGCGGCCTGGCCGCGTTGAATTCCTGCCTCAGAGCCTCCAGGTGCTTCAGGGTTGGAGCCTTGTCCAGGCCCTCGGTCGTGCGCCACAGCAAGGTGGCTCCGCACAGATCGATCAGCGAACCATCCTGGAGCACGTTCGACTCATTCTCCACCTAAAACACCATGATGGTTCACCGTCAGGTCAGAGCACTGTCACCCCTCCCCTCCCTGCACAGGGTTAGATACAGAGTAAAGCTCTCTTTACACTGTCCCCCCCCATCAAACACTCCCAGGAACAGGGACAGCACCGGGTTAGATATCGGGTAAAGGTTCCTCTACGTTGTCCCCCCTCCATCAAACACTCCCAGGACAGGGACAGCACGGGGGTAGATACAGAGTAGAGCTCCGTCTACACTGTTCCCCCCCCCCCCCCCCCATCAAACACTCCCAGGGACAGCACAGGGTTAGATACAGAGTAAAGCTCCCTCTACCCTGACCCCCCATGAAACACTCCCAGGACAGAGACAGCACGGGGTTAGATACAGAGTAAAGCTCCCTCTACCCTGTCCCCCCAATGAAACACTCCCAGGACAGAGACAGCACAGTATTAGAGATACATTAAAGCTTCCTCTACACTGTCCCCACTAGCAGGGCAGGGTTTGATACAGAGTAAAGCTCCCTCTACACTGTCTCACTCCCAGGACAGGGACAGCACGGGGTTAGATACAGAGTGAAAGGTCATACAGATCAGTAAGACTGTGCCCTTGGTGGAGAGGCTGTGAGAGACTGTAACAAAGTGAACCTACCAGCTTGCCCCTCTGCTGTGCTGACCTGGTCTCCCGCAGGGCATACACGTTTCCACAAACGGAGATCTCCCGCCAGACGCCAGGCACGGAGCCGTCTGAGAATCCTTGCCTGGGGTGCATCACCAGGACTCCGTTGGTGGTGAGACCATCCATCAGCCCATCTGGAGTTCGCCATTTGGCTGCTCGTTCCTGAAACCAGCCAGAGAGGGAGAGTGGGGGGGGGTCAGGGCACACAGAGTGGGAGAGGGGCACGAGTGCACGCTGCAATGGTGGGGGGGGCACACTGCGACGGGTCAGTGTGTGTGTGTGTGTG